TGGTATGTCATTTGTATCAGAAATATTATCAGACAGTTCATTTAACTGACACACATTTTCAGCTGGCTACAGGACAGCAGAGATCAAGTGTACAACAAAGTAATGAAGGTGATAACCAGGGCCCGAATTTTGATGACATGAAAATATTAAAAAATGACCTATAAAATGACTGAAAAAATCCAGAAAAATGACCTAAAGGAGAAAAGAAAGAACACTTCGCTTCCATGTTATTCACATTTCAGAAAACATATGAAGAAAATTTCCCTAAAATGGCCAGAAATGACAAGAAATACCCTTAAAAGTCCAAAAATTTACCAAAAAATTACCCCCAAAATGAAAAAATGACCTTAAACCTAAAAATGTCAAAAAATGACAAAAAAAATACCTATAAAATTTACATTTCTGTAAGCAGCAGCTTATATCCGAGATTTATATGTTTAAGGGCATTGCATAGGATACAAGGAAAAAAAAAGATGACATGTCATCAAAATCCGGGCCCTGGTGCTAACTATAGAGGCATGGAGTTTTAATAGCAGCATGTCAGATCAGAATGAGCAGTAGTGAATGAAACAGGCTTTCCCTCATTTATTGACAAAATTAGTTCAGCCAAAAAGTTTACTTATTCTTTTAAAATCTAATCTTCATCCTAGTTTGGTGTTTAAAAACAAGTGACCTTTGACTGCAGGGGGGTATTAGCCATACTGTCTTGTAATTGCACTACTCAGCAATGTGTATATGTATGCAGAACCTCAATTCGAAGTAAAATTTTCTGATTTTGACAAATAATTATTTACACTTGATTATGAATGTATAAGCAAATCTGCACTGGACAAATACACATTAGAGAAGGGTTTATAGTGTATTTTATGCCAGACAGATACTTCAGATAACATGAATCAAATTTAAGAAATATAAAAAGTAAAAGAGAATACAAATTGACCACAGAACCATAACATTGCATTTTCCAACTCTTGTTGATCTGAGCGACATGAGAAGATAGTTTCATATGCCAGTTATACACACATGTAAGAGTGTGCCAGAACCACAGCAATGCTGTTAATGCCCTTTTCTTTCAGAACAATCAGGTCCTTCCTTAGCGTATCTTCATTCAACTCCTGGCACACTAGTAATTTCTCGCCTGTAGTTCCTGTAGCATGGCGCCAATTTGACCACTCCCCATGTCCAAGCCCCATTAAAAGGCACTGTCCAGGTAGTGCAGGAACCACTCGACAGTCCACCTCCATTACCTCCTCATACAAAACGTCAGGTGTTAATATTTCCTGAAAAATTTTTACACAGACACATACATATTATAGCAAACACTCTTGGCTTTCTGGACTAATGGAAAGGAGAACAGACAATAATGATGGAAAAGACATAATCTGCAATTATCTAATTTTCAACTCAGACATTCATCACACCATGTACTACATACATCAGTGTCATGATCATAATTTTACTATTTATAAATATGGAAGCAATGCAGTGGGTCAAATGAAGTAACCTTGATTTGTCATATACCTTACAACAGTGTGAAGAATGTAAGAGATGTGCCACAAAACAGACAAACACAAATGCTGCAACACAGAGAGAGAGAGGTGAAAGTCTGTTCATAAATACAATATGAGATATTCATTTAAAAATGTAATCAATAATGAAAATGAAATGGAAAATAGTGCACATATAATCTATAAATCAAGTAGCCCATTCATAAATAACTGAGATTATGAAAAAGGACTAGTAAAACATTAATATCAGCATTTCACGGAAAGTAATAAAACAAGAGTCAAAGCAGCATTAACTGATGAACCAGTTAAATAAGTTATGGCCTTTAAATAGCAAGAATATAAATTAATCTTAATAATTCTGATTAACTGTTAATGCCTGGCACAGACAAAAAAGTACACCACGCTCAAAAGCAAGAGGGGTTATATTGAAGTTTTGTAAAATGAGAACTGATCATATCAGAATTCAGACAATTATAGAAGATGAGGATTTGAGGTTCTCACAGTGGTGGTTATGAAGAGGTCTATCTTATGGGATATAGCACTGTGTAGGATCTGAGGTTCTCATGGTGGTGGTTATGAGGAGTTCTATCTTCTGAGATATAGCACTGTGTAGGAGCTGAAGTTCTCACAGCGGCAGTTATGAAGAGTTCTGTCTTCTGGGATATAGCACCGTGTAGGATCTGAGGTTCTCACGGTGGTGGTTATGAGGAGTTCTATCTTCTGAGATATAGCACTGTGTAGGAGCTGAAGTTCTCACAGCGGCAGTTATGAAGAGTTCTGTCTTCTGGGATATAGCACCGTGTAGGATCTGAGGTTCTCACAGCGGTGGTTATGTAGAGTTCTACCTTCTGGAATATAGCGCTGTGTAGGATTTGAGGTTCTCGCAGTGGTTGTTATGAAGAGTTGTGTCTTCTGGGATATAGCGCCGTGTAGGATCTGAGGTTCTCACAGCGGTGGTTATGTAAAGTACTACCTTCTGGGATACAGCGCCGTGTAGGATTTGAGGTTCTCACAGTGGTTGTTACGAAGAGTTGTGTCTTCTGGGATACAGTGCCGTGTAGGATCTGAGGTTCTCACAGCGGTGGGTATGAAGAGTACTATCTTATGGGATATAACACCATGGAGTGTGTTGAAGCACTGCTTGCCACCTGCTTTCATGCTGGTTTCTTGCTTCGCTGATTCTTGGATCCTAAAGATGAAGACAAGATGTTCTTCTGAAACATCAGTCGACTTTCAACAGACTACATGGTATTATATCCCAGAAAGCAGAACTCTTCAATTAGAGAAGAATAGAACATATCTGATAACTTAAGACAAATTCCTGATTACCGAACAAATACATTTCACAGTGAGGAGAAAATGGAAGTTTTTCCAAATATCCAAGAAAATTACAACAAACAAGAAATCTAAGAGATGACTGAAAACCCAATGTTTATTTCAAGCACAATCTGGAAGTTCCTTACACTGTTAATATCTAGGGCATACATGCCAGCATCAAAAGCATATGGATGCAACAGGTTTTCAGTTCCCTCTTTAGCCTCTCCCTTTTCCCTTCCTCCCTAACCATCCATGATTGGCTGCCTTACTGTGGATATCAGCAGGACCCCATGCTTGTATTCTATGAGTGAATCAAACATAAATGTTAGTGTGCACTACTTCAAAAACCTTGAAATATGTCTGCTTGAATTGATACTATATAAACTGTGAAATGACCAGTACGCAAAGTCACATTTTACATGATTAATTTCTTACATTCATATCTTTTTAACCAAAAGTTATAAATACGGATCTTTTCTTCTGAAATTTCTTGCCTAAAAGTGGGAGATGCATAAATTAAGTAAGTAAATATGGTGCGTGAAGCTCAGTTTTGTAAAAATAGTGACATCATGACAAAGTTTATAACATTCTATATAAGGAAAGGTAAACATAAAGTTGTCCCTGTGCTTAACTAATTAAACACTATGCCATGAAGACATATGGGGGGAGTGGATGTATAGACCCACGTTTTCTTGACCTCGGCACTAGTTGGAGGTGAATGGTCAGCTTCGCGTCCCGGCCGCTTTACCCCCAGGGAGAGCCCCCAGTACCCATTGGATAGGAGACTGGATGGGCAACATGGAGAAGTGAAAAATCTTGCCCCCACAAGGACTTGAACTCCCACACCTTGGTCATCCGGACCATAGTCAGTCGCTGTATCAACTGTACTATCCCAGCTCTTATAGCATTCTATATTATGCAAAAAAAAACATAAATGAAAGAAAAATAAAAAATAAATATTAATATGTTAATATTAGTACAGCATTACAATAAACCATGTCAGTTATTAACATAAATTCAAATTCCTTGGAATTTCTCCTCATTTTTCTGCAAAGTAAATTATCATATTGCTGGATTCAATCAGAAAGTTCTGTAACAGGTCACTCTTTAACACATCTGTTCTCAATCAAAAACTCTGCAACATTATCATAAAAATGAAATTTGTTTAGGCATATTCAATTTTAATTCTATTCCAAGCATATAACTATATAAGGAATTACATGTGTAAAATAACATTTAGGTACCAGAGGACATTTTGAATTTTTCACTGTTCAATACATTTTGTACCCTAGAGAATACAACAGCAAATCTTTCTAAAACATTGGTAGTATTTTTACATGTTGTCATTATACTGAAGCCAGAAGACAAAGCAATGATTTCAGTATTGCGTTTATTCAGGACTTACACAAATTAAATAATGAAACAAAATCTGAGAACCCCAACTATGGTTATGCCTAACATTACAAACTGTTCCTGAAAATAACTGGTTACCACACATGAGAGTCACTGCTCTGAGGCAAACATGCTACTACAGCACAGTACAATCAAATTCATTTCCATGCATGAAGCACTGTATACATACCAGGTCAAAAATTTTAGGTCTTGCTTGATTGCCAATGAAAAGAAGATCCCGGAAACCTTTATTGATCAGGAGTGCCATCCTCTCACCCTTCCTCTCCAACAGTGCATTTGTAGCAACTGTTGTGCCCATTCGGATCCAGTCAATGTAACGCCCATCAATGGGATGATTGGCTGGCATTTGAATGCCTGTCTCCTACAATGAGATCACATCTGTCATTCTGAATAATAAATCTGAGATAAGCAAAAAGTTTAAAAATCTCATTATCTTGGAATCCAGTTCAGATTGTACAGAGTTCGCAGCCTATTATCACAAAACATCTGAAAGTAGAAACACAACAAGAAACACTGTTTGAATTAAGGGAGCACTGGGAAGGACATTGTTACATATAGATAACAATGTGTATCCTTTAATGGTTGAAAAATTCAAGAGTGGTGGTGGGATGCAGAGGTTTGTACCTTAACGCTGCATCCCACCACCACCCTTCCAACAAGCACGCTGCACTTTCCACATTGGTGCACAGGGCTAGAGCTCTTTGTGATCAAGACAGCCTGCATGCGGAGTTGGTGCTCCTGGGGGATGTATTCAGGAAGAATGGATACAACAACCGGCAGATCCACAGAGTTCTTAACCTTCGGCCCAAGATCAGCCGGCCTGAAAATAAATCGGGCTCAGTCGCCTTCCTTCCCTATGTCGGGACTACATCCAAACATATCAGCAGCGTGCTGTCCCAGCACAACACCAAATCAGTGGGTCTGCCTCCCAACAGATTATCCAGTTTCCTCTGGCCGGTCAAAGATAGCCTGAGACTAAGGACACCGGGTGTATACAGTATTCCATACGACTGCATCAAGGTCTATATTGGGCAGACAGGCTGCTCCGTGGACATGAGGTTGAAGGAGCATCAGCGGCACATCCAGACAAGTCAGCTGTAGCTGAACACAGCATCTATTTGGGACACCGCATTCAGCTTCAGAATACCTTCATCCTCACCACCAAGACCTGATATATGGATCGCATCATTTGGGAAGTCACTGAGACTGAACTCCACCCAGACAATATGAACAGGGAGGGGGGGTTTTCTCTCAGCAAGTCATGGAAGCCTCTCATCTGTTCCCTAACCCCCCCTCCCGGGGACATGACGCCAGATCCACAAGGCCACACAGTCCACAACCAACTCACATAGCACCCCCCCCAACATAAGGGTTAATGCCCTCCCATTAATCTTGCTTTTTTCCTTCCTGACACAATATCCCATATACCTGCTCTAACCTTGCTCCTGTCCCAGACCCTTCCCCTCTCCACTGATTCCCATGTAGACTTGTCCCCTTCCTTCCTTGCTCTCATATAGCTGAGTTTATTTCCAACATTGGTCTGCTTGCAGCTGCTCTCACTGTTTCTTCACTTGCAGATTTTCTTATTTTTCCTTCTACCCTGAAGACGGAGGTGATACGTTCCTCCAAAACGTCAATTAACACCACATCTACACAGTGCCACATCCCAGAAGACTGCTTTCTTCAAGAGGGGTTAATGTTTAAAACAGCTCCACAATACTGCAATGCCCTAATGAATGACAATACATAAATGACAGATGGTAATAATTAGCATTTTTCTTAAATATGTTTTATGGTACTCCCACGCTCATTTTGTCCTCAAGACCAAAAAACATAAAATTCACTGGCTGCCTATCTTAAAATGGACACCAACCACTTCAAATAATTATTGCAACTACACGATACTCATGATTATTTGATAGCTTGCACCATTTGATGGTGACATATACTAATGTCACAAGACATTATTTTGTACAATATTTTCGACCTTCTTTTCAGCAAGGAATCACACTACTGGGAGCTTATGCGGGAATTTAATTTCAACCTGTAAGTACATTTATGGATGCATGCATATACATGTACAAACACACACACACGTTACAATAAAAACCCAGAATCTGCTACTCCCATTTCTTACTGGTAATAACTAGAAATCCATATGCACTGTAGGCAAAACTAGTATTACTAAGAAAGAACAAGAAGCTAATACTGTTGCTGCTGATAAATACCTAAATCAAAATTTTAGCTTGCTACCATTCGGTCCAGAACCTTTTGTCTTCTCATCTGCTGTCTAAAAATATAAAAATCCTCGTGAAACATCGATTCAGAAACAGTGTGAAGGATGTGAAGACGCTGACTGGGGCAGATATTGACTCTGACCACAACTTACTGGTTGCCAAGTTCCAAACCAGGTTGAAGAAAATTATAAGATTTCAAAAGCGCAGACCTAGATGGGATTTGGAGAAGTTATATCCTCAAAGATAAAGCGTGCAGGAGACCCCAGAAGAGAAACTTGGTGCAATTGAAGGTGAAAGCGGAAATGCTGAAGTGCAGTGGAACAATATAAAAGAATGCATGTTAGATACTATCAGTGATTTGGTTGGTAAAGTTGAGAAGATAGCAAGAAAACCATGGGTTACACAGGAGATGATGAGTAAAATGGAGGAGCGAAGGAAATGGAAGAATGTCAACAATGAAGAAGGCAGGAGGAAATACAGGAGACTGAGGAATGAATTGAAAAGAGCCACGGACAGGGCCAAAAAGGAATATCTTGAGAAGATATGTAATGAGATTATAGAATTTCAAAGAACAGGACGTTTTGATTTGATGTACATGAAGACAAAAGAACTAGGATGAAAAGAGAATCATGGGATTCAAAATACTGACACCAAAGACTCCCAGGGGAATAGAATAATAGATTAGAGGAAAGTGCTGAAAATTTGGGAAAATTATATTACAGAACTATATGAT